CTTCGATAGGGTTCTTAACTGAAAGAGGGAAAGAAAATCCGAGATCAGCTGTCGTGCTCAGTTCCAGGATGCCTTCTGAGATGGCAGTCTGAATGAAGGAAGCAGCCCAGGGGAGTCCCACAGGAGGCCTCGTAGCGACAAGCTTCTTCTAATACAGTCATACCTTGGGTTAAATTTGCTTCAAGTTGAGCACGTTCGAGTTGCGCTCCACGGCAACCCAGAAGTAACGGAGCACGTTACTTCCAGTTTTCACCACTTGCGCATGCGCAGACGCTCAAAATGACATCACGCGCATGCGCAAAAGCGGCGAAAACCGACACGCGCATGCGTAGACGTGCCGTCGCTAGATACGTTTACCTCTAGATGCGAACGGGGCTAGAGGTACCACTGAATACAGTTACAGTCATACCTCAGGTTACAGACACTTCAGGTTGCGCGTTTTCGGGATACATACACGCCAAAACCCGGAAGTACCGGAACAGGTTACTTCCGGGTTTCGGCTCTCACGTATGTGTAGAAGCACTAAATCGCACTTTGCTCATGCGCAGAAGCGCTGAATCGCAACCCACACGTGTGCAGACGTGGCACTACGGGTTGTGAACGTGCCTCGCGCATGGATCACGTTCGCAACTGGAGCGTCCACTGTATATCCAATTTCTCAAAAACAGTGTAATCAGCAAGAAAAAAAAGGCTGGCTTATTCAAACCTATGCGAGGAAGACAGGGCCCAGAACAGTTTAAAGGAAACCTGCCAATATCACAGGGCCAATTCAGCTAGAGGATTTACAGTAATGAACCACAATACGTTACAAGTTCAGGATTTTCCTGTTAAGATCGTATCCAGAGCACAGGTGTCCCAGCACTGAAGCGGATCACATTGATCCCTTCTGACACAGGAAACATGCCAAAATGGATCCGATGGTATATAACCAAGCTCTGTCAAGCAGATCAAGTTTACATTCCAAATTATTCAAGACGCACGGACACTGTACAGCAGAAATGCCAAAAAACATTGGTGCCTGCGGAATAATCAGGACACCTGGGGCTGTGTAGCGAAGTCGTCAGTTTTACACAGTGGCATGGGAGCTACACCAGGGTGCCATAGTTTCACCCCAAAGCAGTGGTTTCTGGTCTGCATCAGAAACGCAGACGATCCTTTTCGTGATGTAGTGATGATCAGTCGGTTTCACTTCCTCTTGATTTCAACACAGTTCCTTGCAGAACCCACTCAGCTTTGCCCCCTTAATTTCTGTGGCATATGACTACCTCACAACAACCCATCCCTTGTGAAGGAGGGGAGAGCTATTTTGCTTAGTGTTAAAGGGATGTCTCACCGGAATTTCCTACTTGGCATCAGTATTAGGCAAAACAGGGAGGGGACAGCTGTGGAGGTCAAGATATGGGGGCACAGGGGCTGTGAGGAAGACTGACAACACAGGGCCTGTTTCAGCCACAAAACTATTTATCGACAGGGCAGAAACAACACTTTCCTCCCTGGTCAATGAAGATTCAAAAGCAATGGCTATATTATCATATGAATACCTCAAATATGTGAATAACGGATCAAAGATGAATAACCAAGTGGCGATGCAAGACACTGCCTGCACGGGGAGAAAAAAAAACAGGCACCATATTTTTTTGCTCTATAAGACGCACCAGACCATAAGACGCACCTAGTTTTTGGAGGAGGAAAACAAGAAAAAAAATATTCTGAATCTCAGAAGCCAGAACAACAAGAGGGATCGCTGCGCGGCGAAAGCAGCGATCCCTCTTGCTGTTCTGGCTTCTGGGATAGCTGCGCAGCCTGCATTCACTCCATAAGACGCACACACATTTCCCCTTACATTTTAGGAGGGGAAAAGTGAGTCTTATAGAGCAAAAAATACGGTATTTCCTGAGCCACACTGTGATGCCAGGCTTGCTACTGGAAAACAGGCAGAGCTATATCTAAGGAGCTCATTTAGGTATCAGCTCTCCACCAATGTCTGGAAGCAAGGCCTGTCCGTGTTGTTCTGACCTGGTTATGTTGCTGAGCAATGCAATACCAGCACTGTCTGTCCATACTCCACCAACCATGGTTGGAAGGTGGAGCATTGGTTTAAGAACCTAGCTGCCCTGGGAATCTGCAGCAGGCCATGGTTGAACCTGGTTCTGCTGAGCCCCAGAGTAGTATTCTCAAATTATTATTTTTTTGTTCCAGAGTCCAGCTCTTTCCATGTAGTCAAAGGCACACATGCACACGCACTCACTGGTTAAATTGTACTTGGAGTGGAGGTTCCTCCGCACGTAATAAAGGATTGCAGGCACCTTCCAGCTCATGTCGAATTGCACGGCCTCACACTGCAAATTCAAAAGCAAATAATAAATAAAACAACAACAATGGGAGCATCATGCGCATTTGAGTTGTGTGTTCTTCTGGGGTTGTCTTCTTCCTTATTGTTTGTTCTTATCCATCAGAAAAATATGCAACTTCTCCATGGCAAAAAACAGGATGCATTCGCATTATCTTAATGTACTTCTTAATGTTTCTTACACTGTGTAATTTTGCGCTAGAATGGGTGCCTGACCCAATTGTCTTGTAAATGGAGACATATTAGAGGTTTTTAAAACGAGCTTTTAGCCCTTGTAACTGGAGAAATAGTTTGGAAAAGTACACGGACCATCTCGAAAAAGGCTCTGGGCTTCTGTTAGGGAATCTCCTATGCTCTGCATTGGGCTGGGGAATCTGTAACCCTCCATGAATGTTGACGACTGGGGCTGGTGGGAGATGGAGTTCAACATCTGGAAGGCCACAGATTCCTGCCTTTTCCCAACAGACATTCCCCCCCCCTTCCCTGCAAAACCTCTAGGGCTGTTGCCTCCGCTCCACACCAAAAAATTCTGCAAAATGTGAGGTTCAGAAAAAGTGTGCAAAGTGAACTTGATGCAAAAAAAAAAAAGAAGCTTATTTACATACCTGTTACTTATAGAAATTGAGAGCACAGAGTATGAATCGTCTTGATCTCCTTACCTTATCCACAGGCTCAATGAGAAAGTCATTGAAAAGGTACCACTGTTGGTGTGTGACACCCTGTGCAAATGGAAGATGCAAGATTTGTGTCAATGGATTACCATTTTCACTTACACATAATGAATGAATCAGAGTCACACAAGTACGACTGCCTATAGCCAAGGCAGCTCTGTGACAAATATGACAACAGAAAAACAAGGGGATTCTCCTAAGGCAGCCTTCCTCAATCTGATGCCCTCCAGATGTTCTAGTCTATAAATGTCATCAGCCCTGGCCAACATGGCTGATAGTCAGGAATTATGGGAGTTGTAGTCCAAAACATCCGGAGGGAACAGACATGGGAAGGCTGTAACACCATTGATAGGATATGAGAATCACAGATTGGTGAATGCAAAGTTCAGTGGGCTGTACTCTCTTCTGATTGGCTCACCTCCTTCCTTTGGTGGTAGGTCTCCCCCACTTTTATGTGCCCCACCAGGCTGCCCCCAGTCCGGGAGTCCAGAATGTGCACAATGGTTGCCATAAGGTCATAGACGTACGTTGATTCCTGGTCATCCAACACAGTCAACTGCAAAGAGGAAGAAAAGTTCATCAAGTAGCTAGATTTCTTTTCAGTTATTTTAAGCGGCAAGACAAAACAAAACTGGCAAACACTGACACACTGTACGCCGGGCCTTTAAATTCTAACTCCAGGGATCCAGCCTTTCTGAAATCCTGTTTTCTTTTTAGCAATGGCAGCACAAACCAGGATGATGTCCCCCAGGCTAATGACCACCTTGGGTGTTCATGGACTACTTTAGGCAGATTCTCTCACAGCATTTAAAAAATTAAATTTTAAAAAAATTAAAATTATTTTTAAAAGGGGGGGTGGAAAGAAAAGGATTATAATCACTTCCGTATTAAATATTTTATCAAACAAGCCTGGCTGAATCTGCTCACACTGATAGACACCTATTTGAGATGTATTTTGGAGTACGCTATTGGATCTGCATAACCCTGCTTTCTGTTCATCCTGCAGAATGGGCCTTTTCCTTCCTTCCTACCTTACCCAGAGGGATCATTTCACCTGCTTTACAAAAGTATTCCCAACATATGAAGTGCTACCATGTCCACTAATCTCTGGGCTAAACCTAACTCCTTCACTCTTCCCTCATATGACTGAGGAGCTGAATCAAAACTTTTGAAGTCGCAAGAGGCAGAACTTCTGAACTGCAAGAGCCACTTCACAGGTTGCAGGAGCGCATAGTAAACGTGTGCCTGGGAGCTTCCCGGCGTGTATTCTACAGTGGTGCCCCGCAAGACGAATGCCTCGCAAAACGAAAAACCTGCTAGACGAAAGGGTTTTCCGTTTTTGAGTTGCTTCGCAAGACGATTTTCCCTATGGGCTTGCTTCGCAAGACGAAAACGTCTTGCGAGTCTTGCGATTTCCCCCCGCTTTCCCCCCCCTTTTTCTAAGCCACTAAGCCGCTAATAGCTTTTTAGCCGCTAAGCCGCTAAGCCTTTAATAGCCCTAGCCGCTAATAGCGCTAAGCCGCTAAGCGGGTGCTTCGCAAGACGAAAAAACCGCTAGACGAAGAGACTCGCGGAACGGATTATTTTCATCTTGCGAGGCACCACTGTACTTCATATTTTCATTTACCCAGCCCTCCATTTACAATCTCTGCTGCTGCATCAGCTGTTAAGTCACTGCCTTGAAAGATCGCATGACATTTGTACAGGAAGGGGCCAAAACTGGCTCTACATTCTTCCATCCAACAATTAAAATAATTCTGTACAGAGGTAGCAATGCCTCTGACACCCTGGAGAGGCTGTCCTTAATGGTATCAAAGTGAGCACAGCACAGAATTCCTGAGAAAGCATTTTAGAAACCAGGCACTATGGGCGTCTTTCTTGCCAGAAGTGATGACATACTTCTGTGCTTTCATCCCAGTTGTAAACCTCCAGTTCCTTGTTCTTGGAGAGCTTCATCTTGATAGAATAAGGAATCCAGACGTTCTTTCAGCTCTTCAATGGAGGTATAAGAATGCCCTCCCTCTGCCATTCCCAATTCGTTCCTGGAAGGCAAGAAAACACACAAACAGGAGGATTTGTACAATACAATGCAGTCTGAGCTTTTCTGCAAGTTGGTTTATCATCATCAATCTTTATTACAGTCCAGAGACCCAACAAATCGTTACAAAGCAATGCACAAGTTGTTTATACAGAATTCTAGATAGCCTAAATATGATGTTCCACGTTTCCCAATCTGTACGGTCATTGTCATTTTACTGCTGCAGTTTTCTGCTCTGTGCCCTTTCCGCTGCATAACGTAGTAAAGACAAAACGGAGGTAGACGTGATATCGCCTTTCACCCGTTAAAAAAAAAATCGCTACAGGAAGGGTAAGAACACAAGTAGTACTGAATTGGTAAAGGTAAAGGGAACCCTGACCATTAGGTCCGGTCGTGGTCGACTCTGGGGTTGCGGCACTCATCTCGCTTTATTGGCCGAGGGAGCCGGCGTACAGCTTCCGGGTCATGTGGCCAGCAGGACTAAGCCGCTTCTGGCGAACCAGAGCAGCGCACGGAAACGGCGTTTACCTTCCCAGCCGGAGTGGTACCTATTTATCTACTTGCTCTTTGACGTGCTTTCGAACTGCTAGGTTGGCAGGAGCAGGGACTGAGCAACGGGAGCTCACCCTGTTGCAGGGATTCGAACCGCCGACCTTCTGATCGGCAAGTCCTAGGCTCTGTGGTTTATCCACAGCGCCACCCGCGTCCCTTGACTGAATTGGAGAGAACAAAAAGAGAAGAAGACTTTTCTAGACAAAAAAAGGAGAGTTTTTATTCTAGGAAGCACACTAGATGATAAATGCTTACCATTCCCCAACAGGTATTTCTCTACTTTGGGGGAGTTCCAGACCACCCTTCTTCATCATCAACTTCTTAAAGGCATACTGAAAATAAAAGGTAAACTAGAAGTAAGAAACATCTCTTTTTTTATCTTTTTAATAAGTCTCCAAAAATATTCCAAAAACGTTTATCACTGTATCCAATTTCTTTTCAACACAAACTTTCTTCTTGACTTCCCACCCTTCCCTTCCTGATGTTTGTTTTTTACTTCTTTTATTAGCTGTTTCACAACACATGTTTTATCTAAGCTTCCTCGTCGTTAGTTCTTTTCAGTAATCCACTGCTTATATTTCAAATATTCCTCAATAAATGTACAGTGGTACCTCAGGCTAAGTACTTAATTCGTTCCGGAGGTCCATACTTAACCTAAAACTGTTCTTAACCTGAAGCACCACTTTAGCTAATGGGGCCTCCCACTGCTGCGCGATTTTCTGTTCTCATCCTGAAGCAAGTTCTTAACCTGAGGTAATATTTCTGGGTTAGCGGAGTCTATAACTGAAGCGTTATGTAACCTGAAGCGTATGTAACCCGAGGTACCACTGTACAGTCAAATGCCGAGTGATTTCACTTAACGCAAAACCCTGACTACCTCCTCATGCCAGTTCCAGAGCGAGTCAAGATGAGGGCCAGGTGGAATGTTAAAAAAGGGTAAAGGACCCCTGACAGTTAAGTCCAGTCACGAACGACTCTGGGGTTGTGGGGCTCATCTCGCTTTACTGGCCGAGGGAGCCAACGTTTGTCCGCAGACAGTTTTTCCGGGTCACGTGGCCAGCATGACTAAGCCGCTTCTGGCGAAACCAGAGCAGTGCACGGAAACACCATTTACCTCCCCTTCGGAGCGGTACCTATTTATCTACTTGCACTTTGACGTGCTTTCGAACTGCTAGGTTGGCAGGAGCTGGATCATACAACAGGAGCTCACCCCTTCATGGGGATTTGAACTGCCAACCCTGATCGGCAAGCCCAAGAGGCTCAGTGGTTTAGACCACAGCGCCATCCGCATCCCTAGGTAAAATGTTATACTGTGCCAAATAGAAGGTAGGTAAAAGGCAAAGGACCCCTGGACAGTTAAGTCCAGTCAAAGGCAACTATGAGATTGTAGCGCTCATCTCACTTTTCAGGCCAAGGGAGCTGCCGTTTGTCCACAGACAGCTTTCTGGGTCATGTGGCCAGCGTGACTAAACCACTTCTGGCGCAACAGAACACCGTGATGGAAGCCAGAGCAGCACATGGAAAAGCTGTTAACCTTCCTGCTGGAGCAGGACCTATTTATCTACTTGCACTGGTGTGCTTTCGAACTGCTAGGCTGGCAGGAGCTGGGACAGAGCAACGGGAGCTCACCCCGTCATGAGGATTGGAACCGCTGACCTTCTGATCAGCAAACCCAAGAGGATCAGAGGTTTAGACCACAGTGCCAACCCACCCACCGGCACATCTGCCCTGCCTCCAAAGCCTCTGGCCGATCACATGGGATTTCACATCTGAACAAGGACCCAAGAGGATATTCTCAGACTGTGAAGTTCATTTCCCAAATTTTGTTTTGGAAACAGACAACCTTGACATGAGCTTGCATGTGCTGGATTGTCTGCACATACACCTTATTTGAACAACCAGTGAGGTTGGGAGTTGGCATTGCTGGTTGGCAGGGTGTGTATGTGTGTGTGTGTGTGTGTACAGTGCACTCTTGCTCCTGCTCCCCCACAGTGGACAGGGAAGCAATCAAAGTATTGAATGATCTGGTTTAAGGATGCCTTCGAAAGGCAACTGAATGGAAACCGAAAAGAAAAAGGGAAAGGCACTCTCCTATACCTCTGCCTGCATCTTCCAGAATTCTGCCTCCTTGGAGCTGTTTACTTCACAGTTAATGACCAAAACATCTGGCAGGCAGCGGATGTTGCGGGTCTGGACCTTGAAGAGCAGAGAGAAGATGTGCAATGTAAGGGCAAGTGACACAGATTCATGCTTGGTCCTACTGCTGCAGCGTTATTTTACAGCAGTGCTTCCCAAATTTGGGCCTCCAGCTGTTGCTGGGACTACAACTCCCATCATCCCTGACCTGCTAGCTAGGGATGATGGGAGTTGTAGTCCAACAACAGCTGGAGACCCAAGTTTGAGAAACGCTGTTTTTGCAGTCACAAGGAATGCAAATTGATCTAATAATCTCTTGCTTTTAACAAATGGCACCACCAGAGGTTTCCTAAGATCCGACGGCTGAAGTGAGCTGAGATGAAATCATATTTACCCCCAGAATTTCTTGCCCGTCTGCGGTATCAGCTTAAGAATTTAAACTTCCCAGCGTAAGGATGCTTTATCTGAGACCGTACTAGCTGGAGACCTGGAAACTGATAGAAACTTTGGGGTGGTCAGTTTGGCATGCAAATACACATTAGATTCCCCTGTATCAATGCTGCAGCCCTGGTCCAGGTAGTCCATTCACACGGGCTTGCTCTATGCAACTGTTCCCTCCCCACTTACCGTGGGCTGGTATTCTCGCAGTTTCGCACCAGGCTTGGGTGTTCTGTTCCAGGCAGATGCTTCGCTTTAAGATCTGAGCAAATTCATAATCCTTGATCTTATCTTAAAAAGAGGAAGGAAAAAAGGAGGGGATTTTAATTTCCAAAAAGATCCAATCAAGAAGTACCATGTTTTTCGCTCTATAGGACGCACTTCCCCCCCTGCAAAAATGAAGGGGAAATGTGTGTGCATCCATGGAGCGAATACAGGCTCCTTGGCTTCAGCGATAGCAACGCGAAGCCTCCAAAGCACAGAGGGAGAGCTCCCCCGCACTCCAGAGGCTCCGGGTTGCTTTCGCTGAAGCTACCTGAAGCCCCCGGAGCGCAGCGGCAACTCCACTGCACTCTGGGCTTCAGGCAGCTATCCGCAAGCCTTCGGAGTGCAGCAGGAGTTCCCCGTGCTCCGAAGGCTTGCGGATAGCTGCCTGAAGCCTGGAGAGTGAGAGGGGTCGGTGCACACCTA